AATCTGAGTTTGTGAAGGAATCGACAAATATTCATCGATCTTTTTAAGCGTTAAAACTTGAGAAATTATTTTTGCTTTCGGTAAACTGAATTGTAAAATTTATATGCAATAATATTCATATTAATTGATATATAATCTTAGAATTTAAAATATGATTTGAGAAATAAGTATAAATGGTTCAATTTATTCAAATTTCACATCGAAAAGTTACACTTTGAAGATAAAAAGCTTCCTATCAAAGGTGATTACATATCAAGATCTCACACCTCTAGTGGGGTGTGTTTGGCGTGCACATGTGGAGTCCATGTGGCATTTTAGCACACACATGGATGCTTCCATTAAACAGAAGGGCAAGTGTGGTCTAATAGTTAGACAAGAAGGGCATTTTTGAGTCGAAATATAGTTTAAGGGTATATTTAAGCTATTTCGAATAGTTAAAGGATAGTTTTGACCATTTCCTTAGTCGTCTATGTGGAGGTGAGGTTTGTTTGACGTGCACATGTGGCATTCATGTGGCGTCCTTTCATTAACTAGAAGGGTAGGTATGGCCCAATAGTTTGACAGGAAGAGTATTTTTGAGCCGAAATATAGTTTAAGGGTATATTTAAGCTATTTCGGATAGTTTAAGAATAGTTTTGACCATTTTCCGTATACATAATGTCATCTAAGAAATGATGAATATCTTATTTCAAATAAATCAAAATCAATTATTATTTCTATTTTTTCCATTTTCCACTTCTTTTTTTTCAATTTTATTTCTTCATAGGATTCTGTACAACAGAAAGATGAGGTTTTCAAGACAGTAACTATAAACCAGATAACCGAAACATAAATATTTTTATTAAATATTCTTAGCATAAGGTGTTAACTAATCACGATTCGCCACATCAACTATTAATAATTTATAATCATATTATTATATTACAATTATTCTGCGCCACTTCATCGTAGTGCTATGTGATTAATTAATTGAAATTACATCTTAATGGAAAAATAATATGATTAAACCATTTAGCCGATCAATATAAACTGTCCAGTATTTTTGAGACAGTTTTTAACATATAGTTGTATATACACTGAATTTGTCTTGAATACTACACTTTTAATTAATAATTTTTTTATTTTTATTTTTTTGTAATTTTGTTGTTGGATCTGTTGAATAAAAAAATGTCTAGGTTCAATGTGTATGTATATAGGTGCATAAAGACAAGTCAATTTACTGTTACCCTACATGGCTACATGTTCCTTGCCAAAAATTGATGCTTCACGTTCTAAGTATATTTGCGATTGATATTCGTTTTGGGGTTTCGAATAATTTAGATTAATTCGTAAAAAAAATTGTCTGATATGATTTTTGGAAACATTTGTTTGGTACTCATGATATTTTTCTCTTCACTAACAACTTATAGACCTTTTAAATCACGATTTAAGAATATTTTTTTACGTAAATTAATAATTTATGAGATTACAATCTAGATTTTTATAAGGTACTGTAACCATTGAGACGCCAATTTGATATTTTGCTTGTAAGATCAAATATTATACATGAGTTTAATGTTGTTTGGAAAAAATAGTTTTCAATAGCGTTATATTTGTATGACTTTTTAAAACATAATTATTTTCACAAATCACACAACATACGACGCATTGGGAGAGAACTGCTCTTTGTTATGACATTCTTTAGTCTTATTAGAACTTGAATTCGAAATCTCTTATAAGTCTTGTGACAATATTATATAGAGATCGAGGACAAGTTTGATTTTTCTGTATTTCACTATGTTTGGTATGATACGAAATATTTTTTACTCAAGGCATTTTTTACATTTGAGAAATATTTCCTTAATAAAATATTCCTTTCTAGAATTTGATACCCTTAATATTTTTTTCTTTAATCTTTTACCTAAGGGAAAAATTGTTAACCAAAGAAGGAGCATGACTTCAGTAGTCACTTTGAGGTTATTTTATGTTACATGGCATTATTTATTTTCCTGAAATTTACTTTACTATTTAATTAACTCTCATGCAAAAAAAATTTTACTATGTGCCTCACGTTATTGACGTTAATCTCACAGATTAGTAGATCCAAAGTTTATCGACCCATATATGTAAGAACATGAGTCCACATATAATTATGAATCAGAAAGAAATCTCAAACAACTAAGATCGAAATAAAAAAATCTCTTAGGCTATCCTTTAGCTCTTAGGTCACTTTCTTGTATCAACTACCAAATTATATAAAATGAAAAAAAATCTACTTTGACTTTTTTTTAAATGAGATCCACACTGTTTAGGAATTAGGATTATATTAATATGAAGTTAAGAGCTTTTAATTAGGTTTCCAAGTCAAAATGTCAAATGATTTCTTATTTAAGCTTTCATTTTCAGTATCTCTCTGATTCTTTAGGATAATAGTTAAACAAATATTGTCAACTACAATTATTGTTTATGGGAATAATAATTAAGCAAACCTAATGACTTACTCACAAGTCATAAATGTCAAATGCTATTTTTTGTTATTTAAGTTTCAAATCCTTTCGAATCTTTAAAAGGAAAAATAAAAAAGAATTCAAAGAACAAATAGAGTGGATTATAAGAAAATTGAATGTGAAGGATACAGCCAATTGATTTTTTTCTTCTTAAGTTATAAGCAAAGTAATATTATTAATTAATAAGAATAATAGAGAATTTTATTAGTTCAATGGGTAGTTTACTTAAATTTTTATTTTGTCAATGAATATTCGACTATCTTGAAAAATCTTCTTTCGTTTTTTCTTATTTTATCCTCAATTTTAAAGTAGACTAGTTAGTTGACTATCTGAACTCTCACCTTATTAGTAAAGATTCGATTTCACACCTTGTAATCTCTTCCTCGTCTTTCTTGTCCCTACCACCAATTTTTATTTTTATTTTAATAAAAAAGTACTAGTAATAAGAATACTAATTATCACGTCTACTCCTTCACATGGTCTTTGTCTTATTGGTTCATTTTCTTTACTTTTATGTCCCTTATATTTTATTTATTTCATAGGATGGGGGTTGGACGGTGGGGGAAAGGGGAAGGTTTTTAAATCTTTTATTTATATTAGTACTTTTTATTTAGTACTTATTAGCGGTTTTTTTTTTTTTTGGGGGGTGGGGGGTATCAAATTATATTCAATCTTTATATTTTTGCTACCAAACTCATTTTACTTTTGAAATTACAAATTTAAAATTTACTGAAATTTTATAAATTTATCTAAGCTCCGTGCCAAAAAAAAAGGTCGAATACAAGACAAAACACTAGACGATCTAGACAGAGACACATAGTTTATCCGATCTTGATAGGGTCATGTGCACTTTTGCCCATATTTTGTACTTTGTCATAGAATAAATTAAAGATCAACTCATTTGAAAGACAAACTGAGGTAGCAAATCCGCAAAATTAGTGTAGGTATCAATCATAGTGTTAATTTTCATAAGATCAATACTTGCCCTTGTAAAAGCCTTGAAAAAGAAGATAATGCAGTAAAACATCATATAAGATTTACATAACTTTGGCAACAATAACAACATTGCTACAAGACTTCAAATGGTAGAGTAGATATCTCAAACAATCTTTAGAACAAGTACTAAACAATGAGTAAGACCTTAACTATGGTTATACAGACTGATAAAACTGGCCATGATGAAACAGTAACTTATTTATATCAACATGTCCTATGAGAAGCATTGGCAAATATTTGAGGGTGTTTGTTACACCATGCCTAGTTCTTCAACCTTTACAACACATGGTAACTGAAAACACCATAACTAAGAGGGACTATAGGCGATTAAAAATCCACCCAAATGAAAAAGCAGACAAGTACTTGGGATCTTTTCCCCATGAGAATTGAGAAATAGCTATATCTATGAAGCCAAAACTGACTACTTGATATACAACATGTCAACAATCTCCTGGCTAGTACCAAATAGGAGCATCTTGCTTTGGTGTGGTATCGTATCCAATGCTAGGCAGATTTCCGTTATAATTGGTAGACTGTATGTTGAACGGAGACCCAAACATGAAATGGAAGCTGTCGTTGGAGCCTGCATTGAAAGCTGAATTTAACGCCTTGGATTGATCAAATGGATCGACTTGTGGGAGCATAGACTGAGTTGTGGAAATATTAGTGTTTTTGAAGATATTTCCCTCCATTATCCCTTGGCTGAGCAGGTAATTGTCCTGGTGGACACGAGGTTGTTGATGAGGCTGCTCTTTGGTCAACGTAACATTCCCCCTATTTTGCCTTTTGCTTCCTTGTACATCACTATCATAGATTGTCATAAGCTCGTTAATCATCCTTTGCCCATCTTCAGGAACTCCTATACCAGATAGATCAAAGGAAGGTGGACCTTGATTAACAGGCAGAGCAGATGACTTTGGCTGGACATATTGTTGAGGGAAGACAACTGGCTTGACGTCATTAATCTGAAAGTTTGAAACTCCAAACCGGGAAGAACTTCGGTAAATGCAAGCAAATTGATGATTGTCTCTGGAAGATCTGTCCTGAAACCATGGCGAAGTTCATTGTGAGGGCATTGAAGAAAATCACATGTGTAGATCTTTTGATCCATCATCATGGTCGGTTCATTGGCTTGCTTCCTCTTCAGACTGAAATCTAAGTTGGTGATCAGCTCATCCTTGTTTGGATGAGATTGTTCCTGAAGAGGCATCGTCTCCTTGAATCTCTCAGCACTGATGTTCAACAGATTGAGATGGTTTGGTTTTTGCTCATGAACATCAAAGTTAGGCTCATCTTGAGCACCTTCAACATCATACTCACTGCTGTCGTTCAACATGAAATTTCCACTAACACCAGCTGAGGACAAAGGTGGACAGCGATCAGGATAGAGCTCTCGAGCCAAAGCTTCCTCCTGGCTGATGATGGCAAGCCAAGTTGCACTTTCCTTGGCTGTCATCTTGTCCTGTAAGCACTTTGACTGCCTTACCAACTTGCGGATTTTAGCAATATCAGGGAACATGTGCTTGATCACTGCAGTGAGGACACCAACCTTCCACGCCTTCTTCAGATCATGAGGCTTCTTGTAAGGTAGAGAACCTTGGTCCTTCTGCAAACCCAATTGAGGCCACCAATCCTCCTGTCCTGTGGGCCACCATGGTGGTGGAACACCTTTCTCCAATGGAAATCTTCTCTGAGGAGGATCACAGTGCTGCATCAAAGCTGATAATAACGAACCAAGGGTGGTATCTTGCAGCTCCTGCAAGGTGTGAGGGGTTGGACCAACTGGATTAGACCCCTCGTTCATGCCAGAGATGGCATGATCAGCTTGGTATTTGGCTATTGCTGCAGGACCATTTCGATCAAACCTCACTTTATCCTTCCACCACTCCCTAAGATTATCAGATGCCCCACTAACCGGCTTGCCTTTTTCGGGAATGATCCCATAAACAAAACCCTGAGCTTTACATACTTCCATCATTTTCAACATGTACTTCAAGATCCCATCCTGTGCCCTTGACATCTTCTTCCTCCTCGCCTGCTCCTGCGACTGACGTTGTTTTGCAGGATCGACACCTTCCTTACTTTTACTCATTTCTTTCAGCCTTTTCAACTTCATCTTGTCCCTCCACATCCTCCTCTCCAGCTCATCCACATCAATCTCCTCCTCATCACTATAATCATCATCAACCACAGAATCCGGCTCAGTCTGACTCTGTGGAGCAGCCACTTCCACTTCCACTTCCACTTCCTTCAGCGGAGCAGGAAAGAAATCAAGATCCCCACAGAACCCCATTTCCTCAAACATCATCATCTTAACAAGATGAAAAAAGTGAAGTTACTTGCAACTTCCACAGGATCCAAGCAGGATTAAGCAGCTAATACCCAAAATCCAATATTCAGATCAGAATCTAATTGAAGTTGATCAGATTACATGAGCCTGCAAATACATTAAAAAGTAACATAAGAAATCTCCTTACACTGAAATCACACAAAAGACTAAACAAGCAAAAACATATGAAGTTCAAGGACACCAATCATCAAAAGAAGCATAAATTTGCACAAGATTGTCTCCACAAAATTCAAGCATCCCCATTTTCTTAGAAACTCAACAGAAAAAATTGTACAAACTAATTTCCCAAAAAATCCAAGAATTGACATACGTTCCTAGATCTAAAACATCGAAGATTCATGCTGACTGGTTTTCATATATTGGATTTATCAGCTGATCCCAAAAGGAGGAAAAAGAAAGCTATATTCAACCAAATCAACAACAGAAAAACAGATGAAAAATCCAATCTTGAAACAAAATCTCAAATATTTACACAAATACTCAATAATCCAAAGATCAAGCACAACTATATTGAAGAAGAAAACAACAGAAGAAACCCCAGATGAAAAACTAACACCAAAACCAGTAAAGATCTCAACTTTACCATAAAAAGCAAATCTATTCAAGAACTAATTGTACACAGAAAGAAGAAATACCTGAAAAAGATCACTTTTTTTTGTTGTTGTTGCAAAACTGTGTTTCAACTGGAACTCAGCTTAGAGAATAATAATTGACCCTTTTCGACTTGTAAGAAGGAAAGAGAGAAGAAGATGGTTATTATAGTACTAATAATACTACAATTGGAGAAAAAAAAAATGCCAGAAAATTTGATCATATTTTACATATGTTATTTTTCTTTTTAAAGTATTTTTACCCTTTTATTTAATACTTTCTAACTAAAAAATAAAAATAAAAAGATCAATTTATTTTTTAATAAAATAAAAATTATAATTTTTTTAAATTTCTGGCGAAATTTCTGCCCATTTAACACGAGTTTGTACTATTTTTGATGGTGGAAAATGTATCGGGAGATGAAAAGTGTCGGCTCTTTGGTAAAAGCCAAGCCAATAAACTCTTCCCTTTGGTTTCTTTTGCTCATTATTTATTCCATTTTGGATTTTCATCTTCTTGGATGGAGCCAATGGTAAAGGGAAGGCACCAGCCGTGGTGTTCTCGAGTTCGAGTTTTGAATATAAGTTAAATAAAGTTTTATATTATATAAATTTAAATATGAATATTAAATACTTCTTTTGTTTAAAAGAGAATGGTCACCGGCCTTTTCCTTTTAGTTTGTTTAAAAAAAATGATCTCTTTCTTTTTTTGGTAATATTTTAGTTTCAACTTTTCACGTGGCATGTTTAAAACTACAAGATTAAAGGATAATTTTGTACATTTAACATAACTTTAATTTAAGATCACAAGATTCAAAAGTCTTCTTTATTTTTTTAAATTTCGTGTCGAATCAAACTATGTCACTCTTTGTTAAACGGAGGGAGTACTAGATAAGAAAGAAAACAGAGGCAAAGGGAAGGGAATTGGTTTCCTTTGTGTTTTGGACTATTAATAAAACACACAGTTTTGTATTTTAATTGATTTGTAGTTTTGTGTTGAGTAAAAAGTTAATTACACTTGATATTTATTAGAATAATTAATATATACTAATTCATCATATATTATTGTGATAGTGTGTAAAGGGAAGGGAATTGGTTTTCTTTGTGTTTTGGACTATTAATAAAACACACAGTTTTGTATTTTAATTGATTTGTAGTTTTGTGTTGAGTAAAAAGTTAATTACACTTGATATTTATTAGAATAATTAATATATACTAATTCATCATATATTATTGTGATAGTGTGTATAATTAATTATAATTTAATTAAATAACAAGAGTGAATGTGAAGATATGTGTTATATATTTGCATTATTAATTGTAATATAAATTTTGTGTGTGTAAATAAGTTTGTTTCATTAGCGGTGGCTGTTAAGATATATAATGTATTTATTGAGTTGATATAATTAGGTGCGAGTAAATTTTTATTTTATCCTTTTATCATGTATGTTTATTTATTTTTAAAAAAATCAATCTCTTTATTATTTTCTTTGTTCTTATTTACTTGTTAAATATTTTAAATTTAATTTCTCCTTTTACTTGTCATTTTTGACAAACTAAGGAAGATCAATTTTATTTTTCCTATTATACTCTCAATTTATTAAGTAACATTGAGTTAATTTCTTTGAAAAAAGTAGTGAGTAAATATATTAGAGACCCTATCAATTAACGTAAAATGGTAAACTCATTATACTAATCACTATTTTTTTAATAGATGTTCAAAGTCAAAATTTGATAAGTAAAACATGATGGATCGAGGAGTACTAATTTTAACAAAACAACAGTTAAAGGCATTGTTAGCTATTAATTGTAGTGTGAATGTTGTGTGTGAATAAAGTTGCTAATTCATTTTCCACGTTTACATGGTAGAGGGATAAATAATTTTGTGTGGACTGAAAATAATCGTATGTTTTAAACGTATAAATAAGTCTGTTATGCCTAATACCTTTCATATATATATATTATGATAAGGTATTATGATCAAGATTTTTTTTTTTATAAAAAATAAGCCTAACTTAATACTTCCTCCATTTCATATTAATTGAATTTTTGAGGCATTTTTTATTTTTCAAATTAACTTAATTGTTCAGTTTTCAAGACTACTTTTAGAGTGTTCTTCCAATTTTACCCTTCATTTTGATTTTCAATGCGATGACTTCATTAAATTTGACAATAATTAATAAGAGTAAAAATGGAAAACTATGTTAAATTTATGTCTTAATCTACTTTTCTTAAAAGATGTGAAACACCTCAAAAATTTAATTAATATAGAATGGAGGGAGTATACTTTGTAATTAATGTTTCAAATGTAGTAGTAATTAATATGTCAAATTAAATGTGATTCAATTATGTCGGATGGGAGTTGGGGTTTATAGTTTTGAAGTGTAAATGTGCCTTAAAAGTGGGGTAATAAATGGAAAATGACAATTAATCCATTATGCAACTAACCCCCCACCCTCACACAATATGTGAAGGGATATCACCAAAATGTTGGGAGGAATAAAAAAACACTTACTCATGGTTGTACCAAATAAATATATGTGAAAATATGTTTCATATTAGGTAGTTTTTTATTTACTCTTATAGTATTTTGTTTTATTCTATCATATCATATCATATATATATATATATATATATATGTTGTTTATTGTATTTAGGTTATCACATTATTTTATGGTTGCTACTGTTTTTTTAATTAGTTTCTTTGTTTTTCCACCATTGTTTTCCTTTTCATTGTTTTGATATGTTATATTTGAGTCGAGGATCTTCTGAAACAGTCTCCTTACCTCCACAAGTAGGGGTGTGATCTACGTACACTCTATCCTCCCCCGACCTCATTTGTGGAATTCTACTGATATGTTGTTGTTGTTTGATAATTTTAATGATAAAATTGCTTGATTTAACGTCAATATTGATGTCTTTTTAGGAGGTTTAGAATAAATCATTCGTTATTTATGTAAATATATATTAAAGACAAAGATTAGTTATAGGACATGATGTGTTTTTCTATGTGAAAAATAATGAGTGATTCTATAACATTTGTGTGTGTTTTTGTCTATGTATTTTTGGTGGGAAATTTTTGTAGGGAAGCTCTGTGGGTCAATGAGTTTTTCTTTTCAAGGGAGAATACAATGAATTAATTAAAAGTTTGTGGGGATATGATGGAGAAAGGAGTATGTTAATTTGTTTGTTTTTCTTGTTTTGTTTTATTGAATATGTGAGTTGGCAATTAGGTCTTATCCTTTTGAGTTCTTTTAATGTCTTGAATACTATTCATGTATTTCGATTGAAATTTTTGATAATATTTTTTATTGAAATAGTATTTTTGTTTATTTTAATGTTTTTTTTATGTTTAAAATATTAAGGATAGTATAAAAAAAATATCTTGATTTATTAAAATAGATAAATAAATTAAAATATTTGTTTTTCATATAGAAGTCAAGTAAAATGAAATGTTGGAAGTATTTACAAGATAGTTACATTTGACCAAAAATGTGGAAGAGCATTTATGGCTTGTAATTTTTTGTAATTTTTTTTTTGAAATAATTTATGGCTTGTGAATTACTCCCTCCGTCCCATTTTATATGTCACATTTTTACTTTGCATTTGCATTAAGAAATGATGTAACTTTACTCTTCTACCCTTATTTAATTTTTTTGGAACTTAAGTTTTCAATCAATGAATATGAATTAATTTATTTTGATTAATTAATTTAACCAATGAACATGAATCATTTACTTAACTTTTCTAAGTTGGTCAAATGCATGTTTTCAATGCTAATAACTCACAAGGGTAAAAAAGGAACAATATGCTAATTTATGCA